CTTGGAAGGCAACGGCTCTGCTGCCACCCTTAACCACAGACTCCAAAGAGTCTGCTAGGGCAACCTTCTGACCCCTCCCCCATCAGGGGCTGCCCAGACACTACCCAGACATTCCCAGGAACCTCAAGGTTTTTACTTGAGTCAAATTACAAGGTAGGGAAAAAGACCCCTTTTCCTTGTCCCGAGGCCTGACATCTCCTGTTGGCCTGACCCACTGACCACTCTCACAGACCCTCAGAGGTCCTGCCTACTTCCTAGAGTCTGTGAGAAGGCGGTGTGTACACTGGAAAGAGAATTAGCTCTGGAGTCTGGGAAAACGAGTTCAAATCGCTCCTCTGATGCTTGTTACTTGTGTGACTTGACAAGTCACTTCATTTCCATGTGCCTCGGTTTCCCCACCTGTAAAATGGGGTGGTTGGACTAGATGGCCCTTGAGAGCTCTTCTGGCCTGAAATCCCTGGTCTATGACCCCATTCTGATACCACTAGCCAGTTTCTTCACCTGCAATGATATGGCAGACACTTATTGAGCTTCTATGGTGTTCATAGTGGTGCGCCCACCACTGGGCTCAACCAACTGGTCAATCATTAAAGGGTTTACTGTGTGCCAATATCAAGAAAACATTGGAAGCAGTAAGGATGGGTAGATGAATGGGTGGATGAATGTATGAATGGATGGATAGATGCATGGATGGGTGGATGGATGGATGGATGGATGGATGGATGGATGAGTGAATGGATGGATAGATGGATGGGTGGGTGGATAGATGGATGGATGGGTGGGTGGGTGAGTGGGTAGGTGAATGGATGGATAGATGGATGGGTGAGGGGGTGGATGGATGGATGGATGGATAGATGAATGTGTGGATGAGTGCATGAATGGATGGGTAGATGCATGGATGGTGGATGGATGGATGGGTGGATGGATGGATGAGTGGGTAGATGGTTGGATGGATGGGTAGGTGAATGAGTGGATGGATGGGTGGGTGGGTAGGTGAAGGGATGGATAGATGGATGGGTAGGTGGATGGATGGGTGGGTGGATGGATGGATGGATGGATGGGAAAGAAGCAGAGAATGAAATGAGGAAGCTTCTATTAGGAGGCTATTGTTAAATAGAGTGCAAGAAAGTGGTAACAATGGCCCAGATTCAGTGGGAATAGGAAAGACAGGACAGAGTAATACCCACCAATGTCACTCCTGAGTTGGGGCCTTGTGTCCTTTCGTTATCATGGTGCCCTTGGATGCAGACACTTGGAATGTTATAAATAAGACTTCATATCTGTGGCCCCTAAGTGGCCATAGATCATAAAACCTCAGAGAAGGAAGGAGCCTTTGGACATAAAAGGTCAGAGCTGGGAGGGGACTTAGAACAGGAAATGTCAGGGCTGGGTGGGGTCTCAGAGATCTTCTAGTCCAATTCTGTTATTTTATAGCTGTACAAACCAGGCCTGGGGGTTAGGTCACACAGTAACTTAATGGTAGAGGTCTCCAAACTCAGGCCAAGGCTTCTTTCCAACACACCACAGTGTTCTCAATCACTTTTTTAATGTCCCCGAAAAGGGACAACTTTAGGAACACAGAGTTATAAGAGGCCACTCCAAAGAACTGAGATTAGCTTTCATTTCAGGACCAATGTCAGGGATGAAAACTGTTTACCCCCACTCGTCCCTTGGGGCCACTGTAGGCAGATGAATTCCACAGCTGGCACAGACCATGGATGTGGCCCAGGAGGACAATTCCTGGGCTAGGAGCCTGGAGCGTCTCTATTCCAACTCCTCATTTTTCATATAGGGGAATTGAGGCCCTAAGTAGAGTCAGACCTGGAAATCCTGACCCTTGGATTTATCTGAACAGAGATGAAGAAAGTCAAGTGTCATGACACAGGCTGGCCCCAGGAGAGACAGTCCAACCATGAGCGTGGGGCCAGCCTATCCCATCCCTCTCCTCCCCTGACCCACACTGGCCTGTGATCTCACCCTCTCCCTTGTACTCTCTTGGGACTTACTTTCTCCCAGAAAAGTTCTGCAGGGGTAGAGGATAGTGGAGAACAGTGAGGCAGGGAGAAGACAGGCTCTAGACCCCTACAGAGAAAATCTATAAATCCTCCCTCCAGATTCCAGGACCTGAAGGAAAGTCCCAGCCACCCTCCCCCACTTATAGCCTTGACCTTGAAAACCAAAGGATCTGCTGAGAGATGGAAGGGCCCTAGGAGTCATCGAATGCCTTTGGTTTACACTTGAGATACCCAGACCCAGAGAGACAGGACAGACTTGTCCGAGATCACACAGGGATTAAGCACCAGGACATCAGGGTTCAAGATGAGCCTGTGACTCTTTCCCCTGTATCATATCAGCTCTAAATGGAAGGGTCTTTCTCAAGGTCATGCATCTAGTCAGGATTTGACCTTGAGTTCCCCAAATCTATCCCAAACTCTTTCCATTCAATCAGAAACAAAAAACAAAAGAGAGAGAACCTCACTACAGATATAGTGGAAGGTCAAGGGATGGAGTGGGGAGGATCAATCAATCACTCTATAAACATTTATTGAGCACCTACTATGTGCTAGGCACTATGCTAAGCCCTAGGGGTACAAAAAAGAAGCAAAAGACAGCAGCCACCCTCCTCAAGTTGGGGCAGCTAAGCCTGGAGCCAGGAAGACTCATCTTCCCAGTTCAAATGTGCTGTGTGCCCTTGGGCAAGTCACTTAACCCTGTTTGCCTCAGTTTCCTCATCTGTAAAATTAGGTGGAGAAGGAAAGAGTAAACCATTCCAGTGTCTTTGCCAAGAAATGGAGTCACAGAGAGTCTGACATATGTGAAATGACTAGACAACAACAAAGCCTGTGAGGAGCTCACAATCTAAGGAGGCAAAACGACAAGCCAGCAAATAAAAACAAAGCTAGCTATATACAGGATAAATAGTAAATAAGTAACAGAGGGAAGGTGCTGGGGGCTCGGCCAGGCTTCCTATGGAAGACAAGATTCAGCTGGCACTTAACGGAGGGCCAGGTAAGTTAGCAAGTGGGGATGAAGAGAGAAAGCCTGCAGGCAACAGGGGACAGAATTATGGAACCTGTGTCACTGATGGAAGAGTATGTGGGTGGAGAACGGGAGGTATGAGACTGGAAAGGCAGGCAGGGACCCGGTTACAAAGGGCTTTGGAACACCAGACAATGGAATTCATATTTGATCCTGGAAGCAATAGGGAGCCACCAGGGTCTATTGAGTAGGGGCGGTGCTGTTGTCCTACTTGGGCTTTAGGTAACATCACTTTCGGGACTGAGCGGAGGATGGATAAAAATATTAAATGTTTCACCAATTTGCATGTTAAATGAGTTGAGGCTACATATAACTAGATGAACCTTAGAGCAATCAATTCATTAACCGACGATTTTGGCCATCAACCAGTTATTTGATGAAACTGACTACATGGACTGACTGTTCTGATGTGTTGTAGACTCAGCCATAATCGAAGGGTGAAGGGGGAGAGGTGGATCTGCCAGATGACTTTTGGTCTGCGATGCTGGAAAAAAAGGGTCCTGGATAGGATATTAGGGCACCCTCAGGGACCCTGGAGGTCCTGTCCATCTCAGAGAGCCTAGAGTCTCAGGATTCTATGGATACACGCACATACATGTATACATATGTATGCACATATGTATATATGTGTGTGTGCATGTATATACAAACACATACATACATGTGTGTGTACACATATTTCTTTCAACACTTACTTCAAAGTTTCCTACTCTGACAAAGGTCCCTTCTGTGCCTTAAATAATGTTCTAGGTGATTTTTTTAAAAAATTATCTTTTCAAGGAAAAAAATAGATTATTTTTCTTCCTTCCAACCATTGCTTTTCCCTGAGAAAAGTAAAGGCAGGGGGGAGAACCCTTCTAATAAATATGCATAGCAAAATAAATCCCCACATTGGCCTGTGTAAATATGTGTGTATGTATATATATATATATTATATATATATATATATATATATATATATATATATATATATATATATATATATATATATGTCTTAATCTTCAAATTTAGTCCATCTCCTCCCTACCAGGAGGGGGCAGCATTCTTCACCAATGATTCTCTGGAATCATGGCTGGTCACTGCATTGTTCAGAGTTCTTAAGTCTTTCTGAGTTGTTTACAATGCTGTTATGACGAGACTTATTCTCCTGGCTCTGCTCCCTTCACTCTGCATCAGTTCATAAAGACGTGGAAACCTTCCCAGTGTTCTCTGAAGCCATCCCCTTCATCATCTCTTATAGCACAATGGTATTCTATCACAATCATACACCACCACTTGCTCAGCCATTCCCCAATTGATGGGTGCCCCTTTAGTTTACAATTCTTTGCTGTTACAGAAAGAGCTGCTATCAATATTTTGGTCCATATGGATTGTTTTCCTTTCTTTGATCTCTTTGGGCCAAGTAGCAGCATTACTGAGTCAAAGGGCATACACAGTTTAGTGACTCTCCGGGCACGATTCCAAATTGCTTTCCAGGATGGCAAGACATTTTATGGCTCCTCCAACAATGTAATCATGCGACCATTTCCCCACAATCCCTCCAACATCTGTTATTTTCCCTTTTTTTTTTTGTCAGCTTGGCCAATCTGATGGTCTGAATGACTTCTTATAGCTCCACCCAAAAATTCGTTCCCTGGTGGTCAGCCTTTCACTGATGATCCAGGTTGGTCCTTGGAGGAAAGACTCAAAGTCAGCTATCAGTCAGTGCTCAAAGCCTTACCAGCTCTGGTTTGACATTCAAGAACCCAGGGTCACCTTGGTGATATGGTGAGGTTGGAAGATGACTTCAGTGGAGGAATCAATCAACTAACAAGTATTATTGGAAGCATGGTATAGAGGCTAGAAAGCTGGACTTAGAGTCAGGAGACCTGGGTTCAAATCCTACCTCAGACACTTATTAGCTGTGTAACCCTGTCACACAGGTCTTCTGACCTTGGTTTCCTCATTTGTAAAATGAGGGAAGATCACCAGATGACCTCATAAGTCCCTTCCAACTTTAAATCGATGACCTTATGATACTAGTCATTAAGCTCCTACTGTGTGTCAGGCACTGGCTAGCTACTAGGGGTACAGAAACCAAAACCCAGTCCCTGCCTTCAAAGAGCTTATATTCTACCTGGGAACATACCGTGTCCCTATATAAGTACCAAAATAAAAATAAATATGTAACACAGGATAATTGATGGGGGGAAGGGCGGGTCAGGCATGAATAGCTAGGGGGATGAGGAAAGGTCTCATATAGAAAGTGTTCAACATTGGAACTGAGGTGTGAAGGAAGCTGGGGGTTCTAAAAATGGAGATGAGGAGCAAGGACCTTCCAGACATGGGGTTCAGCCTGTGTAAGGGCAAGGAAATGGAAGACAGAGGGTCATGTATGAGAAACATAAGTAAAGGGAGTAGTCAGAAAGGTCATTGATCAATTCCAACAGGTTAGAAGCTGGCCAGCCAAGAAGCCCATTGAGATTTGAATTTTGTATGTCCGGTATCCCAGAGCTGTCCTTTGTGTAAAGGCTGCTGAGCTCTAACTGCCGTGCCAGGGCGGAAGGGTGAAAAGGCCAAAGTGCATCTGAGAATCTTTTTCCTGGGATATAAATTGTCCTGTATTTCCCAAGCCAGACTTGCTGGGCTTGGGTGAAACTGGAGAGACCGTGGATTCACACCATTCCCAGACTAGCCATGAGGTCCCTTTGTGAAGCCTGGTGTTTGAAATCCGGACCTGGGAGTTTTCAGTGACGACAAGGTTGAGTCCGTGATGTACCAGCATCAGCCCATTGTCTCAGCGTCATAGAGGCAGTGGGCTCGCTGTCCTTGGAGGTCTTTGAGTAGAGGCTGGACGCCCACCTGTTGGGGATGGGGCCTCGGGATTCTTTTTCTGCTTTGGGTGAGACTAAAGGTCACTTGGTTCCTCCCACTCACCCCTCCTTGAAGCCTGTCATGGCATGGGCCCCCCAGCAATGGTTGCTCTAGGAACAAGACCCAGTGGTGTCCCAGACAAGAGCTCTTTCCACTGATGGTCCAAAGGTAGAGAGGCAGCATGAATTTCTGAAACATCCACCTAAGGAAACCGAGAAGGAGAAGGGAAAAGAAGGGAACAAGAATTTATACAGCACCTACTAAGTGCTGGGCACAGTTCTAAGCACTCCTTACAAACATCTCATTGGATCCTCACAACAACTGGGAGGTCGGTGTCATTATTATCCCCATTTCACAGCTGAGGAAACTGAGTCAGACAGAGGTTAAGTGACTTGCCCACAGTCACATAGCTAGGAAGCATCTGAAGCCAGATTTGAACTCAGGACTCCAGCAAACTATCCACTAGGCCAGTGGCTGCCTCCACTGGGCCACATGAAGACGCCTCAGGGAACGAGAGATTTGGGGTCGGATATGAAATCAAGGAAGAAACATCCTCTTCTGTCCAAAGAAAAAGTTAGGATATGCTGTAGCGGGGGAAGAGAAGATTCATCTCTCTAGAACTACCCTAGAGATCCCATCTGGCTCCATTCTGGGTCTCCCAAGGGGCTGACAAGATCCTATTTTAATGGTTTAGGGAACTCCCTGAATCATCGTGCAAAGACCGTAAACTGGAGTCACCAAGCCTAATTTCAAAGCCAGATTACTAGCGATATGGCCATGGAGAAGTGGCTTTACTCTTTGGGCCTGGCTCTTCTCATATATCTGTGATAGGGGCTTGAGAACAGAAAGACATCCTGGGGTTTATAAATGGATGGGAAAGGCATCCCCCCCTCAGCCCTGAGTGGGACTTGGGATTATTGTGATCTGTTGGCCAGAAGGCAAATTGAGTCACAACTGTGTAAGCTTTTAAAGTCTGAGACACAGACTGAAAAGAAGGGGTGGGGATGTCAAAAGATGAGTAGCAGTGGGGAAAACAATATCCTCAGCCCTGTCTGGGGTGTAACGGGCTGAGGTGGCAGACAGAAGGATAATGCTGAGACTAAAAGGGAAGCCGAACTACGACAGAGAAGGGAGAGATCAGGGAGAGCCCTCTCAAAGGAGAAAACAAAGCCTGAAGCTATTGCTTGTCCTCACCTTTCAGGAATGAGGAAAGTTCCCCAGAACAATGCCTTTCCCTGACTTTCCCTTCCCATGCCCATCTAGTAACAGACACTAATAATAATCGTTCATTTTACTTAAACATTTTCTGTATTCTGATTTTTGCCTCAGACATAAAGAGGTCAGATACTAGATAGAGACAAACAGAAACATAAATTAGGACAAACAGCCAAACCTTTGCTTGAGTGTAAGGGATTTTTCTAACTGGGGGCTCTAAGCTATGGTGTTTATGCCGCTAACTTTTCATCTGCCATCTGATATGAGTTCTATAAAACAGCAGAGGAAGGCACCATGTGGACCTGAGGGCTATTACATTGATCCACAGCCTAACAAGCAAGACAGAGTGTGTTCATTCTGAAAAGTGACCAATGACATCACGAGGGTGATGTCTTGACTTTCAAGAATTGGATATAAGTGAGGCAGACTTACACAAAGTCATCAGTCTCACTCTCTTCTCCAGACTCACCAGAAGTGGAAGTCCTGGTGGCAAGACAAAGGTCAAGAAGATTGCTTTAACAGGCTGATTGAATCTGCAGATAGAAAGGAGGTACAGAGGAAATAGCCGTGCCTAGAGAAAAGCTCTGAACCCTAAACCACCCGGGAAAGGCCAAGGAAGGATTCAGCTCTGACACTATCTAGAAATGACAAAGGGTCAGAAAAAATGGAGTGCCATCCCTCCACTGGTGTGATGCATAAAATGAAAGCCTTGGTCTCAATGAAGGCCACTCCCAGGTCTGATATCCCCTGTTCTAACCCCCCTCCCAGCTGGGACATCCCTTGTTCTAAGGGCCCTCCCAGTTCTGACATTCCCTGTTCTCAGGCCCCTTCCAGCTCTGATATTCCCTGTTCTAAGGTTCTTCCTGGCTCTGACATCCCCTGTTCTGAGGTTCTTCCTGGCTCTGACATCCCCTGTTCTGAGGTTCTTCCTGGCTCTGACATCCCCTGTTCTCTTCCAATTGTTTTAGGAGAGGAGGGAAATATATTTCCCAGCTGTAATTGAGCAAGCTTTTACTGTGGGGGAGGAGAAGGGTTTGACAAAGTCTCGTTGAATTTTCATGATGTCACCTGGTCTACCATCTTCTCATCCCTCAAGAATGTGTCTGTTGGTGTTTCCCTTTCTTGGTGGATTGAGTGATGAAACATGGTTGGTGGTAAACAAGTCTCCTTCCCAGAGCCGGCCAGCCCTCATTGGCTCCCGTCCAGCTCCCCCTCCACTGGCTGGGCTTCCTTCTCACTACTTCCTCAGCAAAGCCCCAGCACCCAGAAGCAGGCATGGAACTGAAAATTCCCTCCTCCCTCCCCTATGTCTGGTAAACTGAGTCAGAAAGGAATTTGACTGAATCTTTGAAAGCCCAGTGGAAAGAGCTCTGTATTTGGAAATAGAGCACCTGAGTTCGAATCTTGGCTGTGTGATCTTTCCTGCTCTGGGCCTCAGTTTCATCTTCTTCAAAAAGACGGGCTTGGATTCAATGAACTTTCCTGTCCCTTTCAGTTCGAAATTGGCCCACACAGCCACAGAGGGACATCCCTAAGTCACAAGACTGACCAGGTCAGTTGTCTCATGCCCTCCCATGCTTAAGGAGCTGCTGAGTCTCCCTATTACCTCTAGTACCAAATCAAAGTTGAAGGACTTGGCTCACAAGCCATCTGCCGATGGCTCCTGTATAATCTTGGGAGAATAAGTCACTTTACCCCTTCCGGCTTTTAAAATCAGAGGCTTAGACCAGATGACCTCGAAGGTGCTGCCCACCTCTACATCTATGGTCACAAACTCTGTTTAGCCTCCGAAGCCTTTTTCTACCCCTGCTCCCTCCTTCCTGCACACCAGGGTCCAGCTAAACGAGCTTACCCGCTGCTCCTCACACATAACACGCCACCTCCCACCTCCAGGCCTTTGCACTGGCTGTCCCCCACACTTGGAATGCCCACCCTCCTCCCCTCTGCCTCTTAGAATTTCTAACTTCCTTCAGTACTCAGCTCAAGCAGCCCCTTCTACTAGAAGCCTCTCCCAAGCCCCTTCTATTAACTTGATATGTTTATTTTTATCTACTTATACTTGTCAAAATATTTGGTTGCTAGGTGGCGAAGTGGATAGGACACTAGACTCAGAATCAGGAAGACTCGTGTTTGCAAGTTCAAATGTGGCCTCACTCACTGTGTGACCCTGGGCAAGTCACTTCACCCTGTTTGCCTCAGTTTCCTCATCTGTCAAATGAGCTGGAGAAGGAAATGGCCAACCACTCCAGGATCTTTGGCAAGAAAACCCCAAGTGGGGTCACAGAGTCAGACGTGACGGAACGACAATTTGTATAAATGCTGTTTCCCACATTAGAACTGCAGCTCAAGGAAGGGGCAACTTCACTTTTATCTTTGCATCCCCCTCACCTGGTATAGCACCTGGCACATGGGAGCCACCTAGTAAACACCTGTTGACTGACTAATTGATTGACGTCCTATAATGTCGTGTCTAGCTGATTCCTCCTGGTTGTTTTCTTCAGTCTTGCTTCTCCCACCTTGGATTTTCGTTTCATGGTCCCCAATGTGACAGGTGGCCCAGACACACAGGATGCTGCTAATAGATATTTGGGCCTTGGTAGGTTGAGAACAGTCAAAGGCCATGGGTAGGTAGGTCACAAGTATCACAACACTAGGAGGTGGGTGGCATGTTACTATCATTTTCCAGATTGGGAAACTCAGCTTGAGAAGAAGTCACTTAGCCAAGGTCCTAGAGCCTTGGAGAGCAGAGAAGGCAATGCCTCACCTACTTGTAAGACACATGGGACTTTGTCTCTCTGGGCCTCAGTATCCTCATCTGTAAAAATGAGGGTTTTGTCTTAAATGACCTGTGAGGCCCCTTCCAGCCTTTTCCAATCCCACCAGGAAATGACAATGGCCCTGAAAGGGTTAAAGCCTCTTCTCTCTCTCTCTCTCTCTCTCTCTCTCTCTCTCTCTCTCTCTCTCTCTCTCTCTCTCTCTCTCTCTCTCTCTCTCTCTCTCTCTCCCCCCCCCCCAACCTCAGACACTCCTGGCTTCTGGTATGAAATCCCCAGGATGCTTGAAAGCTGAGCAGGGCTCTGATTTTCCCCAAAAAAGGTAGGAGCTTACATTTCTGCACCCGTATTGCTCACAAACAGCTCGGGTCAGTTCTTCTCTAACTTTCCAAAACAGTCCTTCTCAGGCAGGCCATGGCTGAGGCTGGGCAGCTGTTGGGCACTGGAGTTTGCTTTGGCAGGGGCAGAGGCTGGTCAAAAATAGGACTCTTGATGTGATGGGCTCTGCTTCTAACGGGAGGCTGGGAGCTGTTCTGGCCCCCAACCCCTGACACTCCAGCTGAGGGCGGGGGCTGTCCGGGAGAGGATCCTGCCTTCAAGGGCAGAGGGAGCAGACTTGGTCTGCCTGACCCCAGAGGGCCATAGGGAGCAGTCACAAAGCTTTAGGCCAGGGGTGAGGAGCCTGCGGCCTGTGCTCCACTGAAGTTTGGATTCAGTCAGAGGACCGCTTGAGGACCTAGAGGGCCCCATGTGGCCTTGAGGCTGAAAGTTCCAACTACCAGGGCCAAAATGCCCACCAATTAGAGCCATCCAGAGATGGAAATGGCTGCGCCCCAAAACAGTGGAACCATGTCTTCCATTGAAGGGGGAGGGGATCTCCTAGCAGAGCCTGCAGGGTCACTCGTATGACCAGCCACCAGTGCCATCCACCAAGAAAGCAGCTAGGAAACTCATTCCCAGGATCATCATTTTTTTTTTAGTTGGAAGAGGGAGCTCAGAGGTCCTTCCCACTTTACAGATCAGTAAACCGAGGCACAAAAAGTTTAAAGAATGACTCAGGGTCACACATAGGAGAAATGCCCGAGGAAAGATTTGAACCCATATCTCTACTCCAAGTGCACATGGAATCCTAGGGACTCCTATTCGGTTACGGGTTGGACTAGTCCTCTCCTAAGAATCCTAAAATCATAGGATTCTAGATTTAGAGCTGGAAACAATCTTAGACATCACCTATCAGTATATTGACAAACATTTTTAAGCACCTACTATGTGCTATGTGAGGGTAAAAGACAAAGTGACTCAGAGCCTGCCCTCCCAGAGTGCACATTCTATAGGGGAGAGGGGAGACAGTATCCACGTGATGAGTAGAAAATCAATACAAGGGGGCTGGGGAGGGGTGCCCTGGCAGCCCTAACCTCAGCATTCAGCCGATGGAGAAAATGAAGCCAGGAACGCTTGATCGCCCAAGAGAAGCAATAGCAGCAGTACTGGAACCCTGGTCTCCTAGATGCACTTTCCAGGGCCTCCTCACTCTGAGATCCCGGGGTTCTCCGATTCCCCGCTGCTTCCTGACAACTTTATTTGGAAAGAAGTGTCACAGTGGGAATCAGGATGTCTCTGCTTCTCTCCCCTGTGGTGCCCAGCATCGTGCTGGACTCCTAGTAGGCACCTTAGAAGAGGGCGGGTTAGCGCATTCTCCAAACAGCTCCTAGCGTTTCAGCCTGCTTTTTTCAGAGTCGATTCATCAGAGCTATGGATGGAGAGAGGGGGGAAGAGTGGAAGAGGAAGGAGGGATGGTCACAGAAGTTACACGTTGTCAAGGCTGGAAACTACCTGAGTCCCCCGTCCACTTTGTACCTCAACAAGCATCTCCTCTCCTACATCCCTGGAAGTGGTTGTCCAGACTCTGCTTGGAGCCCTCTGAGGATGGGGAGCTCACCACCTTCAGAGGCAACCCTTTCCATTTTGAGATGGCTCTCATTGCTGGGAAGTTTTTTCTGACGTCCAGCCTAAATCTGCCTCCCTGAAACTCCAGCCGTTGTCCCTGGTTCTCCCTTTGAGGGCCCAAATACATCGAATTCCTCCTTCCAGAGCCAGCCCTTCCATTCCTGGAGAACAGCTCCCATGTCTCCCCTAGCCCTCTGACCTTCCTTCCTCCAGGCTGGACAAGCCTCCACCTGATCCTCCTAGGACACGGACTCCAGACCCTGGCCCGTCCTGGCTGCCTCCTCTGTGCCCCCTCCAGCCGACCAGTGTCCTTCCTAGACTCTGGCACCTGGAGCCAAACACAGCCACCTGGGTGGGCTCTGAAGACCGTGATCTCCTCATTCCTGGAAATAACACCGCTCTGAAATCAGCCGGATCACCTCAGCTGCCATGGATCCTGGACAGTGTCAGGACCTTGGGGGAGGATACTTGCACTGGAGAAACTCCCCCCGCCAATGTAGAAGGGCACCCGCTCTGCAATGCTCAGTCTCTGGACGAAGCCACATGGCCTGGAGCCCAAAGGGTCCCCACCCCTGCTAGAGAGCCACCTAGAGCCTGCGAGGTCCAGTGACTTACCTGGGGTCACACAGCCAGTAGGTGTCAGCAGTGAGGCCGAAACCCAGGCCGTCCGGACTCCTAGGCAGGCAACACACAGTATGCTCATATCGTCATTATTCCTATCTTACCTATGGGGAAACTGAGGATCAGAGGCAGGAAATGCCTGGCCATGGTCAAAATCCTCAGATCACAGCATCATAAAAAGTCAAAATCAAGAGGACATCTAGAGGTTACCTGGTCTAACCCACTTATTTTACAGATGAGGAAACTGAGTCCTTGTAGGGAAGCAACTGGGCCACAGTTCAGATTTTCCTGCCTCACTTTCTACTGCAGCCTGAACTCTGGTAAACAGAAGCACAGCTTAGAACCCACGACCCCTGGCCACAGGCTGCTTACCCTTTAATGGGGAGAAGGAAGCCGCATGACAAATAGCCAGACAGCATGGTGTGGACAGAAGGAGCCCCACTGGGCATTCAGGGCCCCCCAACCCCACCATGGGGGAGCTGGCCAAGTCAGCTTACATACCTCAGGGCCTGTAAAAATGGGGGGAAGGGGGTAAAAGCTGGCCTTGGCCTGCGCCCAGCCGTGCAGGAAGCATGAAACGAGGTGATGGATGTTAAAGCATTTTGGAAATAATCAACAAATGCTGGGCTCTGGATGCGAGAGAGATGAGCGCGGGCGGAAGTGATTGGAGAAGGTTCCATGGAGATGGGGCAGGGGCCGGCTGGAACGTGCTTGCAGGACCACCTGCCTCTGCAGCCCTCCAAGGGTTAATCCATGCCCATCCCCCCTCAGTCAGCCCTGCCTTCTCCAGGCTGGGGGAAGGGCAGGAAGGCCCGATGGACAGGTCGGGCTGACCCTCCGCTGGGCTGGGACTACAGGAGGTGACAGGCAGTCTTGGAGACCAAGGCACTCCTCCAGAGGGGCTTCTGGGCAGCTCCTGGCTTCCAGAAAAATCTTAGAACTGGAAGGGGAACCTGTCACCTTGGCCATCTTCATCTTCACCTGTCTTCCCGCTCTAGAACTCACAGGATACCAGATGGGGAAGGGCCTTAGAACAGGAAATGTCAGAGGTAGGAGGGGCCTTAGGACATGGAGTGTCAGAGCAGGGAGGGGCCTTAGAACAGGGAATGTCAGGGCTAGGAGGGCTCTCAGTTCTCAGGGAGGCAGTCGGCAAGGAGAGAGCTGGATAGCAGGGCCATAAGGCTTAATATAATAGTAGCCTAGGTAGGCAAGGCCATCACCAATCAGGAAAGCATGATGGGACCCAGGGCAAAAGCTTCCCCAAAGTGGCAAGATGGTGGATAAGGAGGAGATGGCCAGAGAGTATGGAGGGAAATGAGACACATGAGGACTGGGAGAATAGTCAGGGAAGGCTTCCTAGGGGAAGCAGAGCTTGAACAAGGCTCTGAAAAATGGGGAGTAGGAGGAAGAAGGCTATTCCAGGCCGAAGCAAGAGCTCAGGAGCCGGGAGGGCACCGTGTCTGGAGAGTGGGGCCCAGCAGGGCCGGCCTTGGGCACGAGACCTCTTTCTGTTGCAGGGGAGGCTGGAAAGGGGAGCGATTGATTGCAGTTGTACTCTGGGTATTTGGGGGCATCTGGAAGCTTGCCAGGTATATGAAGACAAAGAATTCAGATGCCAGCCTGGGTGAAGACAGCAGGAAAGAGAGGCAGTATGTTGTGGTGGGTCTATACTATGGTCTAAGGGCAGGAAGTAAGTGTGGGCTAATATGGAAACAGAGAGACCTTGAGAATGGTCACCATGTGGTGTGGGTGTCCATGCATGGGTGTTGCCTCATCTGAGCTGGAAGCTTGGCTTACAGAAGTGGGAAGGAGCAATGGTGAACCTTAAATCAGCATCAGGATTGGCCTCCTACCGCTTCTCTGAATCCGAAGCCCATCTGAGCTCGACTCTGGGTTTCTGTCTCAAGAGAGTGCTCTTGGGGTGGATGACGGGGACAGAGCAAACTAACCCTTAAGCACATGACATGCAGGGACAAGGAAGACACCTACTCCCCCCCCACACACACACATGCACACACACCAAGTCTCAGTGATAAGAGCTCAGCCCCAGAAACCTGCCCGGCGTCACCCAGAGCTGGACAGTCAGAAGTAGGGACCCAAATCCGTCCAGATTGTCCCAAGCTCCTCAGTTTCTGATATGAGGAAAAAAAAGACAATATGGTACAAAGACAACGCAGATCAGCAGAGAAACATTGTCTCTGGAGTCAGAAGACCTGGGTTGGTATCCAGCCTCTGACACTTAGTAGCTGTGTGACCCTGAATCTCACCTAGCTTTCCTGGGCCTCAGTTTCCTCATCTGTAAAATCAGGGAAGGGTTGGATCACATCATCTCTTAGGTATCTCCCAACTCTCTCTATGTGATCCAGAGTCAGACAAGGGACTTCTCTGAACCTCAGTTTCCTCATCATGTCCAAGTGATGATTGTAAGAGGGAGTTTGGCCACCTTCTCCACCCCTCCAGCTTGGTTACAGATTGTCTTCTCCCAGTAGTCTCCCCAGTCCTCTCCGATTTTATCGATCAGGAAATAATCGGACTAGAAAGGGGCCTTGGCCAGGATCCCCCGGGGAAGAAGCAGCAGACCCAGGTCCCATCCCCAGGGCTGCAGACTCAGACGCCAGAGTGCTTTCTGCAGCAGCTGGAAGCGTGGGGGGCCCGGGAGGTGCCCTGCTGGGACCATATTTGGAGTGAAATGGAGCTAACAGCCGGGTCTTCCTCTCCCACTCCCTCCTGCCTTAGCAGAGGAACAAGTCGGGCAGCTGCTTGGATGGATGAGTCAGGGGGGCCCTGCTCCCGTGAACCCGACGCCCCCATGTAGCTTAGCTTCCTGCTCAGCCCCTGCTGCGGGGGAGGGGAAGGAGAGAGGGCTGTCCAGCGACCTCTGGCCCGCCTGCCACAGAGTGCTTGGTCAGTTTCCTCTGTCCCTTATCTCCAGTCCCCTTTCCCTAAGATTGTGGTTGGACGGAGGGCCGATGAAGAGACCACATTCTGTGGAGTCACAGAATTTAGGGCTGGAAGGACCTCAGAGGCCACCAGAAGTCTAGTAAGCAGGTCTACACCGCTGGGAAATAGCAGAGGCTCCAAACAACCCCCTCTTTCATTCAGTGAGCATCCTTCAAGGTCCCAGTGGAAGCCACCTTTTCATTTACCAGAAGCTCCTAGACAGCTGGGGCTGTTCGCTTTTATCTTTGTATCCCTATCTGGCTTAATAGTGCACACATAGTAGGTGCTTAATGACACATTGCACATAGGAGGCGCTTAATGATACATTGCACATAGTAGGTGTTAATGGTACGTTGCACATAGTAGGTGCTTAATAAATGCTTGTTGAGGGGCAGCTAGGTGGTGCAGTAGATAGAGCACTGGCCCTGAAGTCAGGAGGACCTGAGTTCAAATCTGGCCTCACACCAAATACTTGACACTTACTAGCTGTGTGACCCTGGGCAAGTCATTTAACCCCAACTGCTTAAAAATAAACAAATAAATAAATATAAATGCCCCTTGGGTAGAACTGACAGTTTTACCCAACCTCCTCATTGTACAGGTGACAAAACCGAAATCTGAAATGTGGGGAATATACCCAGGGAAATCAGCCTGGGGCCAAGACTCTGGAGCCAATAACCTTCCCAATACGAAAGGTCCCTAGAGGGTGCCACAGTGCACAGAATGAGGAAAACCTCGGACACTTATCTGGGTGACCCTGGGCAAGCCACTTCTCTTCTGTCTGCCTCAGTTTCCTCCACTGTAAAATGGGGATGATGATAACAACACCTCCCTTACGGGTTGTTGTGAGGGTCAAAGGTCATCCCCTTCTTTACTTCCTCCTCCAGTATCCATCAATCTGTGTGCTGGGCACCGTACTAGGCAGAAGTCCAACAGTCCCTGCCCTCAAGAAGCTTACTCTCTCATATTCTCCACTGGTACTAGAGTCCCCATAAGATGAACCTGGTGGGATGGAAAGAATTCTGGACCAGGAGCCGGAAGACCTGAATTCGAGTGCTGGCTCACAGTAATGACAGCCTCCATCATGATGTTGCTTTCAGATTTACAAAGATGAGTGGCCTGAGTATTATTGTTGCCATTTTACAAACTGGTAGACTGAGGCCTGGAGAGTAGAAGCCCACAGCTGGTCATATACTGGCCCCGAAATTGCCCCTAGATCTCTTGACTCAGGTCTTCCCCTCCACGCCGTCTCGGCTCCCGTCTGTGCGACCCCCCTTCCAGGTCCCTTCCAGCTTTCGGTCCATAATCCTACAACCAAGGATCAAGCACGGCCCTTGGCTTCGAGGCTGCCGGGCCACACAGTGCGTAGAGCGCTGGCACAGCGGCACGAAGCCCCGAGTTCAAATCTGACCTTAGACCTCGCTGTGTCACCCTGGGAATATTTGTAAAAGCACAGAGCCTGGCACGTGGTAAGTGCTTGACTTCACTTGACTTGTCTCTGACCCAGACCACTCCGGTGACGCTGTCTCTGCTGTCTCTTTCTCTCTCTGCCTCTCTGTCTCTGTCTCTGTGTCTCTCTGTGTGTCTCTGCTCTCTCTCTCTCTGTGTCTCTGTCTTTGTCTCTCTCTATCTCTGTCTCTTTCCATCTCTGTCTCTATGTGTCTCTCTCACTCTGCTTTCTCTGTGTCACTCTCTGTATCTTTGTCTCTGGCCATCTCCCTCTATGTGTCTTTCTTTCTCTCTGTGTCTCTGTCCTTCTCTGTCTCTGTTTTTATCTTTGTGTGTCTTTCTCTCTCTCTGTCCCTGTGTCTCTTTCTCTTTGTGTGTCTCTCTGTGTCTCTGTCCTTCTCTGTCTCTGTTTTTATCTTTGTGTGTCTTTCTCTCTCTCTGTCCCTGTGTCTCTTTCTCTCTCTGTGTCTCTGTCCTTCTCTGTCTCTGTTTCTATCTTTGTCTCTCTGTGTGTCTCTCTCTGTATCTTTGTCTCTGTCCATCTCTCTCTCTCTGTGTCTTCTGTCTCTATCTCTGTGTGTCTTTCTCTCTGTCTTTTTCTGTCTCTCTGTGTCTCTGTCTTTCTCTGTCTCTATGTCTCTGTTTCTGTCTTTGTCTCTCTGTGTATCTCTCTCTGTTTCTGTCTCTCTCTGTGTCTGTGTCTGTCTCTGGCCAGTAATGGAAATGCTTAGCCTTATTTAGGGCTCTTGACCATGCCCCAGAGGTGACTCCTCAGGCTGGGAAGTTCCTTTCTCAGGAACTGTGTTCTCTGACCTGCGCTCATAAAAGGAAATGGAGAAGCAGGAGATCAGGAACTGAATGTCCAGGAGAACGTCTCCTCCGAGCTGTCATCTCCCCCTGGGGAGGGGTGGGAGGAGTAGGGGAAGGGACGACTCCCTCCCTCTCCCTCTTCCTTGTCGTTCCCTAGAAGAGGGCACAAGAGGGAGATTGGGAGGCTGGAGGCCCGGCCCGCACACCCATCCCCTGAGTCTCCGTCACCAGGCACCGGGGAGGCAGCCCCAGGGAGTCCCCTGTTTTCTCCTCTGGGCGCCCGTGCCCAAGCCCACCTCCACGAGGAGCACCCAAACCTCCGAACTTTTTTGATTAACAAAATGGTTTTGAACAGACATCCTCCACATGGGGCAGCTGACTTATTTACAAATTACATGTGTGTTCTATGATACTAATAATTACCCGCATTATAGAGGCTACCCACAATTAGAAATTTTAAAAACAAGAGCTAACGATGAAATGATGCTTAATGGCAGAGGTAATGGGGAGCCACTGGCGTTTATGGAGGTGGGGGAGCATCCTGAGCTGAAGAACCATCTCTTAGGTGGCTGAATGGAGGATGAACTGGACCGGGGAGAGGCTTGTGGCGGGTCACCCAGCCCGCAGCTCTTGCAGTGATCCAGGTGGGAGGTGACGGAGGGCTTGGACCAGGCCCAGTCAGCTGTGTGAGTCACATAAGTAATAATTCCTAACATTTCTGTCACACTCACTCTGTGCCAGGAGCTATGTGATCCTCACAACAACCGTGGGAGTTAGATGCTATTATTATCCCCATTTTACAGACATGGAAGCTGAAGCAAGCAGGGGTTAAGAGACTTGCCCAGGGTCACACACCTAGCAAGTGTCTGAGGCTAGATTTGAACTCAGGTCTTCCTGACCCCAGGCCACACTGTGGCGCCCCCAGCTACGTTCGGTGATGGACGGTATGTCTGTTATCCCCATGCCAGCCTAGGTTCAAAGTCACTCACCCCTGTGCCTGCTGGCACATAGTAAGCACTTAAAAAATGTTGGTTGAAACAGGACATAGTGGAGATCTGAAGTTTCATATTCAAGCCTTTTCTTCTGCTCCTCTTTATATATTTAGAGAGCAAGGGGGTACAGGTGGATCGAGCACTGGACCTGGAATCAGGAAGACCCTGAGTTCCAATCCAGCCTCAGACACTTATTAGCTGTGTGACCCTGGATAAGTCATTTCACCTCTCTGCCTCAGTTTTCAAATGTAAAATGGGGATAATCATGGCATCTACCTCAGGAACTTTAAAATCTCTAAGGGTTAGCCACTGGGCTGGAGGACTTTTTCAGCCCCAGCAGTTAATGACACCATCCAGAAAGGTTGGGGAGAACTGGGGGTGCGGCCTGGCAGAGGAAATGCTCTGGCTGCCAAAGTGAACCATCCTCTCAAGCGTCTGCCCTCAAATAGACGGGGAGAAGGGGCAAAGCTGAAAAGAAGGCAGCAGAGGCCAGACTCCTGAGGTCTGTCTCCCTAGAAGGTTTGATTCAGTCCTTCCCACCCTGCTCTGTCCTTGCTCAGCTACAGTTAGGTGTCGCTTCATTCATAGGATGGTAAACTTAAAGCCGGCAGGAGCATTGAGGATCGTCCTTCTAGCCCAACCCATTCATTTTTACAGAAGGGGAAACTCAGGCTCACAGGGATTTGCCCAAGGTGATGCAGACAGCCAGGATCACAAATGTGCAGAATTCCAGAGGTGTAAGGGCCCCACTATCACATACCTGACAAGTGGTCTTCCCTCCTGTCTTTGATGACCCTCCCCAGGCCCAGCACAATCCACTTATGGGTAGCTCTCATTGTTTGGAAGTGGATTCAAATCTCAATTGACCTCTGCTGACTTCCCCTCCTTCCCTCCTGCTCCTGGTTCTGGCCTCTGGGGCCAAGGCTCAGCCTTTCTCCACTGGACAGCCCTCCAAAGACCTCATTACACCTTTCATGCCCCACCTTGAGCCTTCTCTTCTCAGGCTGACTGTCCCCAGGTCCTTCCACGGATCTCCCTAGGACCTCGCTCACTCCCCATCCTGGCCACCTCCTCTGGGCGCTCTCTGTGATTTCTAGAACTGAACTCAATAATTCTTTAGATTGAAAGGGACCTTTAGAGGCCGTTGAGCCCAACCCCATCATTTTACATATGAGGAAACTGAGGCAGGCAGCAGTTAAGCGACTTGCCCAGAGTCACTCAGCTAGTAAGTATCTGAGGTGGCATGTGAATCCATGTCTTACTGATTCAAAGTCCACTCTGATGTTTAATCATTTTGGTCATGTCTAACTCTTCATGACCCCTTTTTTTTAGGAGGTTTTCTTGCCAAAGATACTGGAGTGGTTTGCCATTTCCTTCTCCAGCTCATT